GCTGTGAGGAACCACAGTCCAGGTTCGTTTGTCAAGGCGCCTGGGTGCGCAGACTCCCCAGGGAGAGCGCCCCGAGGTGTGACTGGCCACGGCTGGGTGACTCCTGGCCTGAGCAGCTGTGGAATCCTTAGCAAGTCACTTACCCTCTTAACCCTCATTTCGTAATCTGGTGGGAATACAGTCGTACCTTCCTCCTGGGTTACGAGGACTCAGTGAGCTCATGCACACACAGACTCACGCACACACCTGTGCACACAGGACACTTGCACACGTGACGCAGGCACACACACAGGCATGCACACATGCGTGCAGACACACGCACACACATGTGCTTAGAGTGTCCAGTGGTGGTTGAGAGTGGCATTGCCGACCAGCTGTCAGTTTTGGCGAGGTAACACTGGAGTGTGGGTGGCCTGAGGGGAAACTGGGTGAGGGCTGTGGGAACCCTCTGTGCTGACCCTGTAGCTTTTCTGTGAGTCTGAATTTTGCCATAAGTCATTCAGATGATTCCCACTCTAAGCCATCTTCATCGTCCTCACCGTTTCCCCAGGTGACTTGAGCCTGTAACGACGGCCGTGAAGATGAAGAAGCCGAGCCACACAGAGGCAAGTGCTTGTCCCGGGGCCCTCACCTCAGGACACAGAGCAGGGACTTGCAGACTGCAGAGCAGACACCGAGCCTCCTTGGCAGGAGCCACCACCTACGCGCTGTGTGAAGAGAGAAGACGGGGACAGATGGCCTCTGCCCGCAGGGCCACCGCCACAGGCGGAGGACCAGGTCACACAGTGGTAAGTGCAGCGTGGGGCTGGCTAGGAAGAGACCTAGCTAGGAAGCACGCGCCACAGGATGGGGGTCCTGACTGAGGGCTGTCACAGTGGAGCTGGAGAGAGCGCAGACTGGCCTGCGGGTGGCCCAGCGGCACGAGGCCCTGGGTTCCAACACAGCACCTCACACAAAGCCAGAGGACACAACGGGCCGGGGGGTTAGGGACAGCATGGGTGCGGGCTTCACGCTGAGCTTGAGAACAGTTGATCAGGTAAGAGAAAAGAGACCTGCTCTGGGTGTGACCGGCTCAGCCAGGCCCTCTTCTGTCCCCGCCCTTCTTTGAGCTGCCCTGAGAGCTGGACCAGGCTGGAGTCCACACTGCTCCCTGGAGGCCCGAGATGCTGGCCACCCAACTCCAGCCTGGTCCACTTCCTGTGTGGGTTCCAGCTGGTGGCCAGCATCTGAGCCTCAGGACATCAGAGAAGCCGTGGCCACCCAACTTGGCCACCCAAGAGGGATGTGTCTGAAGCTGGGCACGGCGCTGGGTGTGGTAAGGGTGGACGAGTGGTGGCCCCCTCTGTGTGCCCACACTGTGGTTTTGTCCACGGCTTGTGTGATGATCCCTGGGTCCTGTTTCTCCGTGTTTCCCAGGGAGGCAGATTGCGACAGGAGAGAAGGGGTCTCTGGGGGGCTATGCTACTTTCCAGTGGGGTCACCACGGGGTGAGAAAGGTCAGGGGCCTCACATGCCCAGTCTCGGGTTTTCACTGTTCAAGCATGTCAAGACGGTAGGGTCCTGTGATGACAGAGAGGTGGAGTGCGGGGCTGGGCACTTGGGGACATCCTGACCCCGCTAGCTGCTTGCTCTTTGGGGAGGGCCTAGATCTTGTGTTTCTTGTAGCCCTCCCTGCTGAAGCTGGTTTGGGAAGTTGGTCTGGGATGTGGAGGTGCTCACTGAACACGGGCCCGCTGACTGGAGGCTTCCCCGGCATGTGCCCGTTTCTCTGTGTTGTTCCACCCTGTCCTGCTGAGCTCAGGGAGGAGGCTGGGGTGGGCAGCGCAGGAAGCACCACTCTGGAACGACCAGCAAACTATTTATTTTACTAGAAAGCTTCAGTCCCTGAGGCTGCTCCACGGCAGAGAGAGGGGGCCCAGCGGGTCAGGGGGCCTGGGCGCAGCGGGAGGTGGTCCCGGCAGCTAGATGAGGTGAGGGAATGCCGTGTGGCTCGAGGTGACACTGGTTTGGAAGATGCGCCGGCCGACCTCCACCTTGTGCCCGGCCTCGTCGTCCGCCTCGTCCTCGCTGGACTTGCGGCGAGCATTCTGGTAGAGCACGGCACACACGCCTGTGAGCCAGGCGGCCACGGTGCCCGCAGCAAAGATGCAGAAGCCGATGAGCAGCAGGAAGATGTAGTCCCGGCGGTCCAGGTGGGTGAGGCACATGTACCGCAGCGGGTTCCCCACCTGCGAGATGGGCCACCCTTGCAGCTCCGTGGGCTTCACGCACGTGGCGTTTTGGTCATCTGTGAAGAGAAGCACAGGGTGCGGGGAGATGAAAGAGCAGAAATTCCTGGGGGGACCCGGGGGTGCTGGGCCCTGGCTACTTAGTGGGGACCGTCTCAGGAATGCAGAGCCTCAGGCCCCTGGCAGGCCTGGGACTGGGAATCAGCGTGTCAACACCATCCCAGGCATTTGGTGGCACATCACAGTTGGCCAAACCTGTGCCTGGACGACTTCTTCTTCCAGGCTGGTGCACTCAGGACACTAAGAGCGGCTTTCGAGGGTCCTCAGGAGGGAGAGACCCCAGGGCCAGACAAGGACCACGAGTCCAGCTGTCATGGAGCTGGAACTCGCAGCCCTGTGGGTCTTGCTGTCTCCCTCTCCTCCCTGTCTCTTCCTGCCCCTCCTTTCCCCAGGTCACCTGTCCCTCTCTTGACTTGTGCCTGAGCCCAGCAGAGGCCCTCAGCACCATCTAAGAGCAACACAAACGGCTGCCTCAGCTCCAGGAGGGGCGAGGTTCCTGGAAATGTCTCAGGAGACAGGGTCCCAGCAGAGGAGCTCCCCCCTCCGTGGTGTTCACACTTGCTGGCCGCCCACAGGCCTGGCAGGAGTCTCCAGTCCTTCCCAGCAGTGCACTCACCTCCCTGGTCCTCCTCTGAGTCCTCCCCACATCCAGCATGCAGACCTCAGCAGGTGGCGAAAGGAGAAGGGGTTCTGGGGCGGGATACCCCAGGGCTCCAGTCTGGACTCTGTCACATGCTAGTTCTGCAAACTTTGAAGGCTTCTTGACTATGTCTCTGGATCCCACTTCTTGTCTTGCCAGGCAAAGACGGATACTACCTGAGCGAAGTGTGCAGGCCTGACAGGCAGGGAGAGGCAGGCTCTGTGCGGCGTCCCCAGAGCGCTGTCCCAGCCCTGCGCCTTTCTAGCCCACTCAGTCCACCCTGCTGATGCCAAGGTGCTTATGTGGGTGCTCAATGTGCATGTTTGGGCCCGGGCTGAGATGACCACAGTCAAAATCATAATAGCAGCTAATATATCCTGAACTTCACCACTTGCCAAGTGATTTACAAATGTCATCTCACTTAATTCTTTTTTTTTTTTAAGATTTATTTTTTTAGTTAGAGGTGGACACAATATCTTTATTTTATTTATTTTATGTGGTGCTGAGGATGGAGCCAGGGCCTGGTGCATGCTAGGTGAGCTCTGCCTCTAAGCCCCAGCCCAGCCCCCATGAATTCTTCTAGAACTTCGAGGCACAAATCACCCTTGTTTTGCAAATAAAGAAATAGAGGTTTCACCCGCCTCCAGAGAGCCCTGGACACAGGCAGGAGGCGAAGACGAGAACCCACTAAGCTGCTCTGCTTAGTGGGAGCTTGGATCAGAAGACACCGCAGTGGGGAGCTGCCTCCAAACGCTGGGGCAGGGGCTGGCCCTGTGGGAGCATGGATGTGCCCGGTGACCCAGGAAGTGAGGGGAACAGGTCCACTTGGGGACACCCCAGCGGGAGCCAGAAGAGGAGAATCAGAGAAATGTGAGGGGACAGGAGTGGGCTGGGGCGGGCGGTGGTTTGAGTGAGGGGAGAGAGCAGGTCTGCTCCACTGGGACCTCGACTCTACCAGTACCTCAGTGATGTCCCCCAGGACGACCATGGGAGGCCGGCCATGTTGTTGGGCCTCACTGTGGAGGGAAGCCAGCCCGGGACAGCCCAACATGCTCCCTTTGCCACAACCCCAGAGGAGAGGAGAGGAGAGGAGAGGAGAGGAGAGG